ACCAGTGACGACTTCAGCCTCTCCGGTCAGTCTCGTAGTTTTTCACAGGGGGTGCCTCTCGTGCTGTCGGGTGCTGAGGTGGTGACATGCAGAGAAGTGGAGGAGCAGCGTGGAGGAGCAGCGTGGAGTAGCATCGCTGCGTGGTGCTGGAGAGAAGTTCGGAGTTTGTATCGGAGTTGCTGCAGGCCTCCATCCAAACTCACCTAGATAATAATTAATTTTATTCCGGATCACGCTGTTGTCCCCTGTTGACCTGAAACGAGCTAGGATCATGCCTTTCACTTCAGGAGGATTTTCTGGCAGCTCGCTCTGCTGTTTGCTGCAAATGGTCTGTTTCTGCCTGTTTGTTCTGGACCCAGCTTCTGTTTCCCATGGGAGCATCCATCCATCTTCACAGGGGGTCCGGAGCCCCCCTCAGCCCAGCTCAAACCGCAGTTGGGCCACCTCGTCGGACTTGTTTGCTCATTTGATTTGTGACGTTTTATGGTCTGAGACTTTTCTGCATCATTCATATTATTGTCATTATTTTCAGTTCTCAGATTATCTGGAGTCACTGAATCTTGTTAATACACCTGGATCTGTCCATCACTGCAACTTTCACTGTTTTTGGGTTCTGAATGATCGTGTCTTCATTAATGTTTCTCTTGGTTGATTATGGGGGCTAATTGTCACACTGTTAACTCCTGTAATTACACATCAGTCACAAAAAACTCAAGAAAATGTTTGATAATAATGTTGTTATTGCTCTCAGGGATTCAGCCCAACACTGGACCCCCCCACTATTTATAGGACACCAAATGACTTTAAAAACATGTCAGGACTTCATTTTCTGCATGTAAACGCTCGTAGACACTGATCGACTCTCCCACTAGACCAAACAAAAACATCCTGAAAAGTCCTCCATCTTTGACCTGTTTCTAACTAATGTGCCTCACAAATTCCCTGGTAGAGGTGTATTCGCTGATCTTTTGAGTGATCATTGTGTAACAGCGACTCTTAGAGATATTAAACTTCCACCTTCTAAGCCCAGATTAATTCAAAAAATGGATCTGAAACATTTTTGTGAACAGTCATTCCTCTGGGATCTGTCTCACTTTGACTGGCATCATATTCTATTAATTGATGACGTGAACTCCGCTTGGAACTATTTTCATAATAGTTTCATTTATTTTGTGAACAAACTTGCTTTTTGTCAGTTCAGAATAAAGGGACGAGACAGCTCCTGGTTTACTCCAGAGCTAGCTGACCTCCTGCACAGGAGAGACCATCTTTGGGCCACAGCGAGAAAATCTGACTCAGACACTGACTGGTTGAGTCTTCGACAGATGAGGAATAAATGCACAACTGCTGTCAAAGCTGCAAAACACAACTATTTCTTATCTCAGATCTCCAAAAATCTAAATGACCCTACCAGATTCTGGAAAACCATCAAATTTCTCTCAGGCACCCCCCAATCATCTGACCTCCCATCACAACTTCTCGTTAACTCTGTTCCTGTGTCAAATAAGCACGAGATCCTGAACTGTTTCAACAAACATTTTGTTGCTTCTAGTTCTTTATTTGACACAGTTACTAACAGAAAACCAGCCACTTCACTTACTAATCAAACTTCTACAAATCAAATCCCTCCTACAAGTCAATCCTCAGTTAATCACACCTTCTCTTTTTCTCCATTCTCAGTCAGTGAGGGAAATAAACTGTTAATAGATCTTGATCCTAAAAAATCTGCAGGTCCAGATGAACTTCCAACTTGTTTCTTAAGGCTGGCTGCTCATATCATCACAGTCCCTGTGACCCACATCTTTAATCTCTCCATAAGACAAAACTCCATCCCAGACACTTGGAAAACAGCCTTTGTTCTTCCTTTGCTGAAGGGAGGTGACCCCACCTCACTGAACAACTATTGACCAATCTCTAAACTCTGTATTTTAGCCAAAGTTCTAGAAAAACTGATAAACTCTCAAATCAAAGATTACCTGGACTCATTTAACATCTTACCTCCACATCAATCTGGTTTCAGGAAACAACACAGCACAACCACTGCTTCACTGAAGGTTCTTAATGACGTTGTTGAAGCACTGGATGCTAAGGATTATTGTGCTGCACTTTTCTTAGACCTGTCTAAAGCTTTTGACTGTGGACCAGAACATCTTCTGTCATAAGCTCTCAGAAATCGGTTTCTCAGATCACACCATTGGTTGGTTCTCTAACTATCTTTCAGACCGGAGGCAATGTGTTCAACATAATGGTACTTCCTCCAGTTATTCAACAGTCAACAATGGTGTACCACAAGGCTCAGTCTTAGAACCCACCCTCTTTACAATCTACATACATAATGTAGGTAAAAACATCCCTAATGCATCCATACATTCCTATGCTGATGACAGTTGTTTGTTGAGCTAAAACAGTTGAAAAGGCTTTCTAGCTTTTGAAATCTGCATTTGACATAACCCAGACAGATTTGTTTCGCCTCAAACTTGTCCTAAATGCCGACAAAACCAAAGGGATGCTTTTTTCAAATAGGAAGTTGGTCCCAGCAGTTCTTCCTCTCATTTCATCCTCAAATGGTGTCCCCATTGAGTTTGTTGATTCCTATAAATATTTGGGTATCTTGGTCGACTCACATCTCTCTTTTAAGCTCCATGTGAAAAACTTGGTAAAGAAACTGAAAGTTAAACTGTTTTTTTTTTCCAGAAATAGATCCTGTCTAACCCTGAATGCTAGAAAACGCCTTGTATCTGTGACTTTCCTTCCCTCCATTGATTACAGTGACTTTATTTACATGAACGCTCCTACAAGAACCCTGCAGATGTTGGATGCTGTCTATCATGGTGCACTAAGATTCATAACTGGCTGTGATTATCGTACCCATCACTGCACCCTGTATTCAATGGTTAACTGGACATCATTAACTTCACGCAGACTCTCTCACTGGTATATTTTCATCTTTAAATCACTTCTTGGTCTGTTGCCTTCATACATCTCCTCCTCCATGTCTCTGTGTGAGTGCAGCTACAGCGTGTGCTCTCAGGACATTATTACCTGCAGTGTTCCCTCAGTGCGGACTGAACTAGGCAAAAGGGCCTTCTCCTACTCTGCTCCTGTTTCCTGGAATATCTTACAAAAAGATCTGAAGCTCTCGTCCTTGACCTCTCTAAGTGGCTTTAAGAATCTGTTGGACTCTTGGCAGGGACCAATGCAGACATGTTCCTGTTTTTAGTTTTCTACATTTGCCTTAGAATCTAGCTGTTTTTTGTTACTTTTCTTTTTTTTTAGCCATCCCTATTTGTTAAAAAAAAAACCCTGTATGACTGTATGACTTTTTATAACTGTTTATTGTTGTAGCTGTTGTCCATTGTTGTCGTCAATTCTTTGTTGAAATCAGGTCTCTCTTGTAAATGAGTCCTCGAGGCTCAATGGGATTTACCTGTCTAAATAAAGGTTGAATGAAAAAAAGTGTAAAAGTTGTACAGTAAAAATATTTTACGAAGGAGTACCGTGCATGACTTGTCCGTGAGCCAAGTTGTTTATTTTTAAAAACCCAACTGTCCCTGTCTGACATCAAGTAGTTAATGCAAGGACACATCCTGAAAACAAGTTTTTGTCATCTCTTTTTGTTCTGGTGGAAAATGTTTTTATACGCCCGTCATCGTACAGTCTCTGTCCGTAATCCTTCTCTTGTCCCGCTCATAACTTCTGATCCACTCACGATAATTTAACGAAACTCGATACACGTTCGCATCATCACCAGACCGAGTTGTGAACCTATTCATCCCCCCAGCTCTGAGCTCAAGGTCAAATATATCAAGTCTTTGCTTGTCTGGGCCATTAATATAGACTGCTGTATAATAGTTGGATGGATGGATGTATATTGTGCCATATGCTGTATTAGAGTTGCATTTGGGCCTAAAAAAGCCGGCCCGGCCCCAGCCCATAGACATTTTTCTGAGCCCGACCCGACCAATTTGCCTGTAGTTACAGGCCCGAACAAATAAAAACAACCAAAAAAAACTTTTTTTAAATTAAGCTTTTACTGCTGTAAGCAAATTAGTTTGACATATTTTAAAAATGTATTTCAAAGAAAGGAAGATATGATTTCTTGTCTTCTTACAAGTCGCCAAATGGATATTAACATACAAAACTAATAGCCTAAAAAAAATCAACTCTAAAGATCAGCTGTTATACAGATGAACAAAACTAGTTTTAGAGCAAAATTATTTTCAGTGGGATTAAACTGTTTAAATAAAGGTTGAATGAATTTGGAAAAATACAGAACAAGGCTATTTTAATGGAACGTGCTGCTCGCTTTGGCTTTTGTAGCTTCAGATACTTCCTTCACTGCAGATGACAGCAGGGTGCGGGCCTGGATGCACGCGGCCGGTGATCCATCCGGCCGGTCAACAGACGTGTGCGGCCGATGATCCGGTGATCCATCTGAAGCTTAAAACCTTTTATTCCCCTCTTTCTACCGGCTGGTCGGACCTGAGCGTGCACCTGACCTGACACACATCAGCAGGTTTCACTGTGCTGGCTTTGTAGAGTTTCAACACCGCATCAAAAGCCCAAGTCCGACCCGGCCCGGCCCATCAAGCACATAATTTTGGTCCAACCCGGGCTGAATTTTGGGCTGGGCCTGAGCTCGGGTTAGAAATTGCAGCTCTGTCCTGTACTCCTGTTGTGTATTTGCTCGACATCATACGATGCTTCGCTACAAAAAGTGACAGCAAACTGTTCCTGATGGAGCTGCATGTTTTGATGTCTTTACCGCGGGTTTTTTCCAAAAGAGGAAGAGCAACGAATTCTATATCGTAAAAAAAAAAAGAATAACTGCTGATAATATGAACAGCCACTAAGTTTAAAGAACTTTATTATTTGAACAAAACCTAATATTTGACAGACAACGCTCTGCATTCATCTCTTCGTCATTGTTCACATATAAATTAGTTTCTTTTTGACTGAAGCACCAAGAAATGACTTGTATTGTTTTCTTTCCTGTCCAGGACGAGAAGGAGGGACCAGTGACCAAACACATTCGACTAACCGCCGCCTTAACGTTAAAGAACATCGCCAAGCACTCGGACTGCGGGCGCATGTAAGTATCCTGCTGGATCGAAGATGGCGTGTGTGAAAACCTAAAGATGTTAACATAATGAACTCTGTAATTTCTCTGTAAGCGTCGTGTTTGTTCGCGTTTTGGACGATGACGGGTGTCTTCTGTCTTCAACCCCTCAGGTTGGTGAAGAGGCATGAGACGCACCTCTCTGTGCTGGCGCTTAGTAACATGGAGGTGTCCACCACGCTCGCCAAATGCCTTTATGAACTCACACGCTCGCTCCAGGCTTAGCGCCAAAAGGACAGCGCGGCGCCGGCGAGCTGTAGCGGGTCCACCGAGGGGAGAGGCGTCAAAGGGCGGGAATCAGGACGAAGACCTGCTGCTGCCCTCGTCTCCCTCTCATCCTCCTCCATCCACACCACGCAGGACAAAGAAAAGATTTAAAAAAAAACTGCCTTGGGAGGGGTCTTCCACCAGCTGCCCACCAGGGGGAGCTCTTTGAGACAGCTTCCCTGAGGGACTCCAATTTAAAAACCCCTAACGTGAGCACATTTTATTTAGGCTTAGTTTTGTTTTCGTTCCCTCCTCATCCCATAAATGGGAGCGTGCACGAGTTGAGGGGTGACTGAAGAGTCGCGACGGTTGGGGGAGGAGTGGGCGGAGCTTCAGAAGGCGGCGCCCAGGAGGAGGACTGCTGGCAACTGGTGCAGACGATTTTTTTTTTTTTTCTTTTAGAAACTTGGTAGCTTGGTTTTCTTACTTGAGTCAATATATTTTCACTTATTTATTATTGAAATGAATACCATTACAATGAGTAAAAAAAGAATCTTGTAAATAAATTGTAAATATATATAAAGAGGATCCTTTCATGCCGATGCAGCCACTGGAGAACCAACTCTATGGGGTTAATAGAAGCATTACTTCGGCAAGATTTAATAAAGTAGTACGTTGGTTTTTGCTTTTTTTTTTAATGATCCTTGGTCACTTGTATCTAATGTGATTCTATACTCAGCAGTGGATGAATGTACTTAAACTTGTAAATAATTCTGCAAAGGTACTGATGCTGTAAAGCTTAGGGAGGGGGGGAAACAGTTTTTTGTGGAACTGTGACATTTTTTGTATTATAATACCTTGTAGAACTCATTTTGCTGGCTGAAAGAGTATGGAATAATATATCTCATGTCATTTTGTAGAAGAAAGAAAAAAAAAACAAAAAGAATATTGAAGGTATTCTCTTCCTGTACCCTCACACACCCCTCAACACACGTGCACACACAGAAACATATATCCACTGTAAGCGTTTTGTCATCGTACGGGCACGGTGCGCGTACCAAAATTTTTTTGTATTTGTAAATTGGTTTAAATACATGGAGTTTTTATACAGGTTTTCTCCTGTGTTCTTTGCTTTACGTGCAGGTATGATATTTTCTTCACTACGTTTTTCTATCTTAATATAGTGTGGAGTTTTATTGTACTATTTTTTCATTCTTAATACCATGCCACATTCCGGCTCACGTCCTCAGACTGTCCTCTCTGCCGTGTGTTGTGTAACATATGACTGCCTGTCGTATTAGCATCGGACCGGGGCGACCCATCTTCATTTCTGCGGTGTCAGTAGGATGTGTGACTATACATAGACCTAACAGTCTGTTAGAGATTGGCTTTATTTACTTTGGTGACTGTTTATAGTTTTTAAATAAAACACTGAACATTTGGCATGAGGGGTTTCCTCTTGTTTCTTGCTTTTCTTTGCTCCGTTCTGTCGCCTTCATGTGTTTTTAGTTTTTCGCTGTAAAACACGTGTTTGACACCTCCTGCTGCCCTTGGGTCAAAATCAGCCGTAAGGCCTCAGTCGTGAGTCGTCTTGACCCAAGGGCAGCAGGAGGGTTAATTAGGATCTGTTCAAACCCAATGTAAAAATGTTTTGGTCAGTCATGCAGTATGAGAACTGAAAACACACTCAGCTACTACCACCCCAAATGTTAGCTCAATATCTAAATTGTAGCAACAGTATCGTCGCGTTTTCTAATGTCGACCAGCTGTGGTAGCCATGTTGAATCGGTTTGCTCCAAAATTTCAAGAGTTGTAAATGTACACCGAATTATCATATTCTGGAAGTTTCATTCATATCCATCCTGTGTTGTGAGATATTTTGCTAACAGACAAACGGGGTTGACCCCACAGTTCCAAGTCAAAATTTTCGACAAAGATCTCGCATTACGTGTGGCCTTTAGAGTGTTTGTGAGTCACTCACCAACTTTAATCTCTATCAAACTTAGTTGTCATTTTTCTGTTTGCTATGGTTGGTTGGCTGTGGCGGCCATCTTGAATTAGGTTTAGAGTACAAATGGAGATCGTTCTCAGCTACTACCACACCGCAATCTTGGCTAATAAAATATGAAATGAGTTCCCACATTTCACAGACAAAAAGTGGCCCTCTGTTGGCCAGAAATGGCCCATGGGCCACCAGTTGGGTTGGGTTGACTTCAAAACTAAATCCGTTACATATCAGGTAGATTCACTGAGGCTTGGCTCATTTTTTTTTTCTCCCGTCATGGAGTGAAAAGGAGGAACAGGTAACACCGTCCATACGTTCGTAAATGTGAGTGCGAGAACTTGAAAATTAAGTGCGGTAAGTAGCAACACCCATTTTGTTGCGGGGTTGCATATAAGCATAAAAAGGTTTCCATTTGAAAACTGGGCTGCCAAGTTAAATTCCAAGATGTCCAAACCTTGTGAGTGCGATTAATTTGGAAAATAAGCAACGGGTCAACTTCCATTTTGGTATGTGGCTACATCTAAACATAAGGTTAAGTTCAAAAACAGGGAAGTCATGTCAAAATCCAAGATGGCCACCACCATATATAAACCAGCCACCTCTATAAGAAAACTATTGTTTTAAATTGATAAAGTTTAGTTTTCTCAAATGACTGCAGTGGCTGAAAATTCATCTGTGGTAACCAAGGCCACCGCTGGCCACCCCCTGGCGCTGCCACTGCACCATGTTAGTGGACAAGCTAGGAAAAAAACACCTACCTCCATTCTTCTCCACAATGTAACTCCTACCCACTTGAATATCTTGCACCAAAAACATTAAGGTTTACTTACGTAATGTTCCAGTCTATAGAAACACTCATCTTGAAAACAACAAACATTCACTATTCGGCCCCCTCGGTGACAGAAGCCATCAGTGTACCGCTTTTCTCCATTAGTTCTTAATGGAAACATTCGGCTCTTTTGGATCCATCAGCATATCGGATAAAAAGCAGCAGGGAGAGTTTGATTTAGAGCGTATAAGAATGCACATCTATACAAAGATAAAGGTGAAGGATTTTATAAAGCTATAAAATAAAAATGATTAAAATGTGAACCTATTTGAAATAAACAGCAAATCCCAAACTGGCTCAGTCAGTTTGATAGTTACTGAGCTAAAGTTAAGTGTGGTAGTAGCTGAGAATGATCTACGTATACTCTGAGAGCTAACGGATATCTGTTTTAAACTATCAACTGTTGGTCAACACTGTTTGTCTGTTAGAAGAATATCTAATGAACCACTTGGAGAATTTTAAGGAAACGTTCAGGAAGTCATCATTAGATGTTCTTCTACAACTGGTTAACATTTAGTCAACCCAATTTCAATTCAATTCAAAAATACTTTATTTTAAATCAGAGAGTAACTTCTAGTCTTCATAAGTTTCCTGATGATTGCTAATGGCATAATAGTCAGCCTGTGTGTCATCTAATCACAGAAACCAACTATTTTCACCGACCTGAGGCTGTCACTAGCTGCTGTATTTGTATTTGACATTAGTTTACACACGGGTGGACTCCATAGCCATTTGTAATCATTAAAGCTATTTCTGAAGGAATATTGGTTACAGAAAAGGGAGCCGATTACTCTTACACACCACACTTTTCAGTATCATTTGTAAATACAGTACTACTAGTACTAGTACTAGTACTACTACTACTACTACTACTACTAATAATAATAATAATAATAATAATAATAATAATGTGTTACATTATGTATAATTTCATTTCCACTAGTAAGTGTGTACTTGTGTTGGTCTCTCAAAGAAAATTACAATGAAATTGTTTTTGGTTGTAATGTGACAAAATATACAATGACTCAAAGCGTATTAATTTTTTTCAGAGGCATAACGTAATATTTAGATTTTACAACTCTGACCTGGTGTAAAATCTGATGTCTTCTGGTGACGTAGAAAAACGTTCCAGTCCAAACGGCTTTTGAAGACTACAGGATCGGAGCTGCTCTTTCAGTTGCTCAATTTCTCTCAGCATGCTGTGATATTGCTCCCGGTCAACACACACGGTTCTGCTGGCGCCGTAGTCATGGTCCACGACCATAGGTACCATGACGGGTGGTTCATTGTCCTCAATTGGATCCGCCGAATCAGGTTCTGGATTAGATGGTCGACAACGGCGCTCCCAAACACCTGCTCGTGTCTTCCTGCTGTATTTGTTCCACTCAAATAATGATGGAACCGACCCAGCTGCTAAAATTCGTCTTCCCTTTTCTGTAGTAATTACTTCATTCTCCAGGAAATGTCGGCTACATACCTTGGTGTGAGGAGTTACCGTAAATCCCTCTCTTCTGATTTTTTGCAGCCAGCACAAACGAAGGCTTGTCTCCTTAGGGAAACGGTGAAAGCTCAAACGGCTATTATAGCGACCTGAAGACGAGCAAAGCGGCACACAACAGTGCTCCTTAGACCCAAACACCGTCGGCTGAAATCTAAAGCTGCCACGCACGTTATATTTTTGTTTATTTGACGCAGCAACACTCATTTTAGTTGTTTATCTCTGGGATGACAGGATACAGGAATTAAACCGGAAACTGGAATGCCGACATCCGGTCAAAGCGGAAGTGATTCAGGACGCATGTGCACAGAGCCTATCCCAAAGGGAAAAGTGTTGTCATAGCTCATCATCCTGGTTAGATGGCCTCCACACACCAGCTGACCTTAGTAAACACAAACATGTCTATAAGTCAGTAAGTTTTATATATATTGAGTTAATATTTGTTCAGTCTGTTGGGGGCTTCTTCTTTTCACTCAGATTGTGAAAACTCAAAGCTTTGAACATCAAAAAGGAAACCACAGCATCTAAACTGAATGCTTCAGTATCATATTTATGTTTGTTAGAATTTACATTTTAGTGTTAGAGTAATTTCTTGAGTGTATTTTTATTGTATCTTATTGTTTAATTTATTAGCAGGATAATAAATACATATATTTTTAAGCGTATAGGCTGTAATGCTCGGGGGCTCCGTTAGGGGGCGCCAGAGGCCCGAACTCGCTGCCGGAGTATAAGACATGTGGCTGAGACTTTCTCAAATCTATGCCTCGTTTGTAATTAAAACGATTATCGCCACTAATCAGAAATAAACCACAGCAAGTTGGACGCTAAAACTATTTAGCAGGCGGGAGTCGGCCGCAGCTGCAGTCGAAGGTGAGTAGGAGCACTTTAGGGAGCTAGCGGGAGCTAGCTGCTAAAGCTAAAGGCTACGTAAGCAGGCGCTGTTGTTCAAAGCCGACGGCTAGCTTGTGACCTTCAGCGCCGCCGTCATGGCGAATAACAAACAGTGTTTGCTCGTTAACGCTGCTGTGCCACTAACAGGCAGCTAGCTGAGCGTTTAACTAGCCTGAGCAACCAGTAACCAGCTTGTTGTTAGCGCCGTGTTGGCACGGGTTAAGTTGGTGCTAATTTGGTCCGCAGGCCGTGTTCCCCGAAGCAGAGCTGAGCTCCACTAACTTTATTTCTCCTCCGGGCCATCTTTACCTCCGACTCGTTTATAATTAACACGAGAACGTCTGACTGTAGTCCAGCTTTTAATCGAGGCTTGCCCACTTCGTAGCTCGCCTGCTGCGGTGAACGGCCTGCGGGGAAGAAAGTTGACAGGTTGGAAAACAAACCCAGCCGTGACCCGGAGTTCATCTTAGAAACCAGGCCAGACTTGTTTTTGTGGTTAACTATCCCGAAATAACCTGCTATTAACGTTACATTACATTTGAATAATTCGAAACAGTATAAAAGTTATGCTTAGACCCGTTTTGTTTGAAACACTGCTCATATTTGAATGCGTAAAAGACTACACCGTCCATTAATGATGATGTCATCAGTCTGTAAACTTGTTTTATTTAACAGAGAAGTAGGCTTGAAGTTCCCATAACATTCTGTTCTGGTGAAAAGAAAAAAAAAAAGCCCACATTTAGTCCTAAAAATAAAGATTTTAATCACAGAATGATATTGTCTTGTGCTCGGTTTCAACTAAAAATCTGTTTATGCAGACTAATATTTATAAAGAGTGGATAAAACAAGTATTCACAGCTGCTGTGCGTTTTAAGATTGTTGCCTCTAAAATGACCATATCCGTACGGTTGAATTAAAGTTTTCTCATCCTCCCGAGTCCTTCAGCTGAAAACCCTTTTCATGAACCAGAGGCTTCAGGTACAGAGACATGTGCCGGTGTTCTAGCAGTAACGCTGCGCTCACCCATGACCATACTTTCTGCTTTATAATCCTTTCAAAATAAACTACAGTGGCAAAAAGACACAGAGATGCTCTTTTCTTTATCTGGGAGGGGGGGACCATTAGGAACCAGTTTGGTGTGTCACTACCAGTACCAGGTGTCAATGTTGAAACTCATTCCCAATCTTATCCTCAACATCTTCATTTCTGCCACTTCCAGTTCTGTCTCCTGTCTTTTTGTCCATGTCTCTGTCTCTGTGATGGACCAAGCAATGAAAGCATAGACACACAAAAAAAGTCATTGAAGTGGGTCTTTATTTCACCCCAGAAAAAGATTTAAAACATGACAAAGTTCAAGATTTAAATAATGGACATTAAGGTTTACTTGCATCCTCTGTTCAGTTCAAGTTCAGAAAAACACTCCTCTAAAAAACAACCAACATTCTGAAATCCCTCAGTGATTGGGGACATTGGCAAAACATTTGTTTACCAAAGTCGGGACAAATATTTTTGACACAATCAGAAGATTTTTTCCAACTGTTTGCACAGATCACTGATGTCACAGTAGATTATTATTTTTACCTGAAGCATGAGATTGTTGACGGTTTCCTACAGACGGTGAACGCGTCCTTACACTGTCCAGCCCAGGAGCACCCCCTCCTGGTCAGAACAGGTATCACGAGCCGCCAGTTCTCCGTGCTGTTTCCTGCTTGCACAAAATTGTCACATCTCCTTCCACAAGTTCTTCTACAGTCTTAATATGTTTTATTGGACTTTCTTTTATCATTTTTAGCACAACAGTTGCAACGTTGTTTGTATTTTCTCACAGCTTCGGCTAGCAGCTCCTCAGCGGATGCTGCTCTCAGAAATCGGCGTCCTGCAGCTGGTTTACTTAAGCACATCCATGAAGCTCTAACCAGTCCCACAGTGCTCGCCGCATAGTGCGGTGGAACTAGTTCTGACGGGTCGATGCACACGACGAGGTGTCAGCGACTGGAAAGAGTAAAAAAGAAAAAGACACAATCTTCATCGTGCACTCATGTCAGGGAGACACAAGAATTGTTCTTCTTGTTGACTATAAATCCAGCTTTATCGAGACATGAATGTCAGATCAACTGGATAATGGAGACACTGCTGGGCCCATTTCAGAGACCTATGCATCCCAGGTGATTTAGTGCAGAATACAGTGGTGCAAACTTTCAATCTTCTTCTGCGACAAATTGACCCACATCTGTTGGAACTGGTCTTTAAAATCCAGCAGATCAGGACTCGGTCAGAGTTTTTGTCTGAGCGGATCCCACACATTTAAATTAAAGATCAAAGGATCTAACGAGTTCTCAGAGACACGCCTGCTGTCTTCAGGGTCCCTCTAGTCCAGGGGTGGGCAAACTTTCGGACTCGCGGGCCACACTGAGTTCTACAATTGGAGCGAAGGGCCAGAAACAGATGGATGGAGTGTTTGTGTGATGCTACTCCCCAGCGCAATAACAGCCGCCGGGACGCTATTAATTATGGGTGACTCCACCTTCTGCACCACCCAAGCAGCCACTAAATTAGGATTATATGATAGAACAGTGATTTTATTTACAATAGTGAAATTATTGCCTTTGTGGAGTCTTCCCAACTTCAGGCCCAAACATCAAACTAAACAAACCACTGTATTTTCTCTTAACTGAAGAAAAATAAAATGAACCAAACCACGTCTCTTACCTCACGATGTTAATGGGATACAGGAGAAAAGTCTAAATAAAGTGTCAGCTCACCTCTACAAACTCCTCACAAAACTTTTTACAACTACAGGATCTAAAGTTGATGACAGGCCAGCTGCAGCAGGTTGGGAATGGAAGCAGACGTCTTCCTCCTGCAGCTCCTCTACGCAGCATCAAAACAGAGAACCTCCACAATAATTCACGTTTTTGATAATTCACACACTATTAACAGTTTCACACACGCACACACACAAAGCATGACTTACTGTGATTCCTGATGCAGTGAAGACAAACAACATCCTGGTTGAGGTTCTCCTTTCACTTTCTCCTGGATTCTTGTCAGCAGCTCGACATGTTTTCCACTTAAACTTGTTGATCCGTCCGTTGTGACACTGAAGTTTACTCCTCAGAAGCTTCATTCTCTCATGACAGCAGACCGTTATAAAAATCCTCTCTCCGTGTTTTTCCTTTCAGAGACTCCAGGGTCAAAAACACCTCCATTATCTCAAAACTGTTGTTAATCCCGCAGATTAAAAAATAGGAGATGAGACGTGTCCTTTATTAGTTTCATCCAGTAAACCGTAACTTAAAGGACTCTCTCTGCCTTTTAGCTTATTTTGCTGAATCTTCATCAATCAGTTCCACAAGGCGAGTCACAGTCCTGCGTGATAAACTGATTTTTCTGACTTGTCTTGGCCCTCCGGACACAACAGACCTGCTCTGTTTTTAACAGGTTTCTTTTTAAAAATCGCCATCGGAGAAAGTCTTGCTAGCATATTTAGCAGTTAGCATAGTTAGCAAGTGTACTCTTTGAAAACCGCAACAGTTTCTTGGCATAAAAACTTCCTTTGATTGGACCTCAGTGAAACAATATGTTGTTGTCCACTCCATTTTAAACACTCGGCACTCACTGTACACTTTTCTTTGCTTTGATAAACACGTTTTTACAGACAAGATCGTAGGGCAAAGTAAAAATAAAAGCGTAGAAGAAGAAATTACTTCGTCTCCACTTGCCTCTAATACACACAAGTGTAGTGCGCCTCTACTGGGGAAATACTGGAACTACAGGTAAAACAACAACAGGTTTTTTTTTTTTTTTTATTAAATTCAGGTTTTTTTTAACTATAATTTGAACCAGTGGCAATTTAACCTCTCTTTGGGGGTGCTTAAGTACCCCTAAATTTGACCTCAGCACCCCTGGAAAAAAAAAAAGTATAAAAAAAAATTATATATATATATATATATATATATATATATATATGGCCGGGGTTTGCCCATGCCTGCTCTAGTCCCTCCTGGAGCTGGTAACCAGAGGTCAGAACCACAGTATGATGTTGGTGCATCTCTTCACACCACTGGCAGTGTTGGTTTTCTCCTCTTGGCATCACCAAACAAACCTTTTTCAAAAAATTAGAATATCATGAAAAAGTTGTTTAACTTCCATAATTCCATTCAAAAAGTTAATATTTAATTGAAGATAGATTCATGGTCCACAATTTAAACAATTTCAAGTATTTATTTGTTTATTTTTACATAATTTGGGCTTCCAGCTCATGAAACCCACGAAAACAGGATTTCATAACATTAGAATACTGTGAAGAAATCAGCCCAGATGTTGCAGGACATGAATGTTTTAAACTGAGTGTGACACTGATCATCTACTAAACTCAAAGCACTGCACAGGTTTCCTCAGGTGTCAATAAATTGCTTCAGTTTGATTTAATTGTCTTAGTTCGGTTCAATATGGGGAAGACTGCAGACATAACAACTGGCCAGAAGATCATCATTGATCCCCTCCATAGGATGGGTGAGCCACAAAAGTTCATAGCTAAGGAGGCTGGCTGTTCATAGAGTGCTGTGTCCAAGCATATCAATGGAAAGTCTAGTGGAAGGACAAAATATGGCAGGAGAAGATGCACCAGCAAAAGAGATGACCGTGGGCTTCAGTGGATTATCAAACAGAGAAGATTCCAGAATCTGGCAGAGATCCAGAAAGAGTGGAATGAGGCGGAGTCACAGCTTCAAAAACCACCACATTCAGACGCATCCAGAAGATGGACTACAACTGTCGGGTTCCTCTGTCCTCTTTTCTGATGAAAGTAAAGTGTGCCTTTCATTTGGAAATCAAGGTCCAAGAGTTTGGAGGAAGAAGGGTGAGGAACAGAACCCGTACTGGTTGAGGTCCAGTGTGAAATATCCACAGTCAGTCATGATTTGGGGTGCAATGTTTGGTGCAGGTGTTGGTAAACTCTGCTTTCTTAAATCCAAGGTCACCGCAACAGTCTAGAAGAATGTTTTAGAGGACTTCATGATTCCTTCTGCTGAGGATCTGTATGGAGATGCAGATTTCATCTTCCAGCAGGACCTGGCCCCTGCCCATGCTGCCAGAAGCACCAAAACCTGGTTTGATGTCCACAGTGCTTGACTGGCCAGCCAAGTCGCTGGACCTGAACCCCATTGAGAATCTATGGAGTATTGTCAAGAGGAAGATGAGGAGCACCAGACCCAACAACAAAGAAGAAGAGCTGACAGCATCAAGGAAATCTGGTCTTCCATAACTCCCAGTCGATGCCACGTCACATCGAGGCAGTGATTAAGACAAAGAGATTCACAACCAAGTATTGAAGATTGACATATCGTTTTGAAAGTATTATATTTTGATTGATTAGTTGTGATCCTAATTTATTTCTTTTTTCTGCAAAAACAGACGTGTGGGCTGATTTCTTCACAGTATTCTAATTTTTTTTTTAAATCGTTTTCGTGTGTTTCATGAGCTGGAAGCTCAAATTATGTAAAAATAAAGAAATACTTGAAATTGTTTAAATTGTGGGCCCTGAATCTATCATCTATTAAAGATTAACTTTTTGAATGGAGTTCTGGAAGTTAAACAACTTTTCCATGATAGTCTGATTTTTTGGAAAGGGTCTGTACATGCACATGATGGTCATCCACAGCAGTTCAGAACCAAGATCCATACCAGTGTCACGGGGTTCAGTGCACGTCATGACGAGCCTCTTGACCTTCTGTCTTGGGTGCCTTCACAGCCGTGTATTCATGTAGTCATCGGCTCCAGCATCAGGTCACTGTTATAAGCTGCTTGGTTGTTTTTGATCAATACTGAAATCATGATGTTTAGAAACGTTTTATTTATTGCACTGAAAAGAATAATTCAGACACTTCCTGTTGAACTTTCCCCTAAAATTACTGATAGAGCTTCTTATAAATATGACACTAAATAAAATCTAACGCTCTTAAATGGTAATAGTGTGTTTAGTCTCATTAGTGCTGGGCGATATGGACCAAAATGAATATCTCGATATTTTTACGATAAATCGCGATATACGATGTATATCTCGATATATTTTTCTTTCCATAAAGTAATAACAGAAATATATTTCTGAGTCAAAGCTTTGCCCCAGTTGTCACACAGGCACATTTATTAACTACAAAATAAATGTCTAAAAATAAACTATTTACATATATTAAATAATAATCCTCCCCAGCTGCGCTGCCTTCACTACGCTTTTGAGCGTGTGTGAAGCAGCTGTACCCTGAAGCCCTTGATAAGTGGAAAAACCACAAAGTAGGAATAGTAGTACAAGTAGTAAGTAGTAGTTTTATTCTAGTATTTAAAAATGTATATAGAGGTTTTAAACCCTTCTCACACTCTTGTAATATTCTAAACAATGTTTCTAAACGCTCTAAAAGACACAGCATGTCATGATCTCCGCTCCCTGCCTCCTCTGCTCTTTGCCACCTGTAAGCGCTCTTGGCCACGCCCACTTCTCCGCTCTGCACGGAGAACAGCTGATCAGCTGCAGCTGGAAGTTTATCCTGCAGTGTGGGCTGCACAAATGTGCAGCAGGTGCTGAATAATTTCAATTTATTTTAAATAAAAATTTCGTGCCGATCGTGCGTCAACCAGCCAATCGTGTGTCATGTCCCATCTTATTTTGAAAAACCGCGATAAGCGAAGTAGCGAAGTAGCGAGAGACTACTGTATATCGTTTATACCGATATAGTTTCATCTTGTATCGCAAATGAAATTCTCTATATTTTCACATATCGAGATATCGCCCAGCCCCAAGTCTCACTAATGATGTTTATCAGGATCCTGAGTTGTTTATTTTATTCACTGGTTGTTTTGTTGAAAACAGCTTTTATTTCTTCCCCAGAGGTTCTGGTTGAGAGCTTTCAACTTTCAGCCCTCGTGTTCGTGCTTCACCTAAAACCCACATAATAGTTGCATTAATTATTCTGCACAAAGTCGTTCTGACCCTCTCGTGTTTCTGTTGACGTGTTTTCCTGCGGGACAGTTCCTGAAGTAGTAATCCAGCTCTGGCTCGCTTCTTTCTGTGTGTTTAAGGCGCTTAATCCTCCTTTCCTAACACCGTTCCACGTGTGTGTGTGTTTTAGTCGTGGTCAGGACACCCTGGGCCCCGACATGACCGGAGCAGGCAGCGGTGAGTGAATTATTAGTTTTTCTTCACCCTCATTAAAACAGATTAACAGGCTGCTCGTGTGGATTTTCTGTGTTTAGGTGGTCAGGGCCCTCCGGATGGGTCCGACACCGAGGACGCGGAGAAGTGTCCGGTTTGTCTGGGCGTCCCGGCTGCAGGCGAGCTCGCCATGCCCGACAGCTGCTGCCATGTTTTCTGCCTCGGATGTCTCCTCACCTGGGCAGAGGTGATGCTCGGGGACGTTTTGTTGCGTTCACTTGCTTTTGTGACGTCGGGTTTAATCGAGACGTTTAGTTTCTTTGAGCGTAAACGTGCGGCCACCGTGTGTTCATTGATTCGGTTTTAAACCTGCAGATGTCTCCGTCCTGCCCTGTGGACAGAAGACCCTTCAGTAGCATTTACAGACTGGACAGCAGCCTCCGCCTTGTGCAGGTGAGTGTGGATCCTGCTGGTGTCCGGTATTGGATTTATGTGTTGAACTTCTGACCGAACCTGAACGTGCTTCTGATTTAAGGTTCCTGTGAGGAGGCGACCGACTCCAACAGAAGCTGAACGCTGCAGCTGTATGAACCCTGAACAGAAAGTCTGTCTGAAGTGAGTCGGCTCAACGTTCTAATTAAATCATCAGTTCCTGGATGAACTGAAACATTTCTGCTTGTTTCGTCAGAAGCAAACCTGCTAGAAGGTCGAGGCGGCGGGAAACGGAGAGGACGGCCGGTGCCAAGATGAGAGGACTTGTGAGGAAATGTGTGTTGAAGCCCTCCAGAAAATTGCCAGACACAAGTTGCTGGCAACGATTGACCTGCTGTTGTTTTTCCAGGTAACGATGATGACCCTTCTTCTCTGAGCAGAAAAAAGGTGAGCTTCTTATTCTGCTTTCTTGTTTTTAATTTGACTTGTAAGTGTAGTTTCCTCAAATGATCGGGGTGCCTCAAGATTAATCTACCACCACTGGCCACCCCCTGGCTCCGCCGTTGCACTGGTGGTAGTTAAAGTTGCTCGCAGGTATCCGTCACTGTGCCGCCGCAGACCCAATAAAAAACTACTTCTCCACAGTGTAACTCCTTCCCGCTTGAATATCTTGAGGAAAAACACTCACCTCGTAAACTACCAACATTCACTGTTCAAAGCCCTCAGCGACTTGGCTAGTTGGCTTGTTGGCTAGTTGGCTTGTTGACTTGTTGGCTTGTTGGCTTGGCTGTTCACACGATGTTCTTGTTCATTTATCGCACGTGTTTGTTCCAGTGACGTTTTATTACCGCGTGTTTTGTGCAGGTGAAGGCGTCGGAGTGCTGCACGTGGTCACCATCCGCTTGTGTCTCAGTAACGCCAGCACAGGACATGTAAGTCCACCAGCTCCCCGTCGGCTTCATCGCACACTTTGCTGCAGCTTCACTTAGAAATCTACTTCGTTTGAATTTCACCAAAACAAATCAAAAGTCAAGTTTTGTTTCTGCAAAACTAGAAGAGTATTTGATAAAAAGAAGAACACTTCTTAACAGCTTTACATGTTTAATGTTATATGGAAATGGTTACTTTTACTGAGAATACCGTATGTTTTGCCATATAAGTTGCACCTTTTGGCATAAATTTGCATGCCCTGTGACTTATACAGCGAAGTGACATATTTATGTTTTTTATCATATTTTTAACCAATTTTTGGCTGAGATCTGACGATTTCATTCATTCTGACATGGAAAATACTGAACACTACCATTTTCAGCCGCTAGAGGGCGCTCGAGTAATATGGCAAGCCAAGTGTCTCGTTAATATGTAAAAGTGGCTATTAATGAGACTCTTGGCTTGCCATACAAAGCCACCTTCATCTCGCTCCGTAACTCCTGGAGCAAACGTCAAATCAGCTGCATTTTGCTGCGTCGCCCAGGAGAAATGCAGCTGATTTGACCATCAAAGTGCATTTATTAAGGAAAAGTTCAACTGAGACACACCTTTACTATAATTTCGAGCAAACAAATAATTGTTTTTAATTGTTAATCTTGTTAAATGCTTGTAGATTCATGTTCGTGCTTCTGTTCGACGTAATGTTTTTATGTGCTTAGTGTATATTTAGTTGATGTTTTTCTTAGTTCATATCTTAGATGTTATTACAGTTTTTCTTTTCCATTTTATTGTTGGATGTAACTGGGACCCTGTGTACATAATCTTGTTCCACCACATGTACCACATGAGATGCGAATGACCAATAAATCTCTCTGAATCTTAAAGTCCTCCCGTGCACATAGCCACCATTTGGCAGCCAATCTATTTTTGGCACAACACCGGCCCACGTTTCCAGGTTGTCAGCAGTGGCACATAATAGATGCGACTTATTTATGTTCCACTTTATTAGACATTTTGGGACTGATGCGACTTCTACAGAGGTGTGAAGTGTACGGCGGAAAGTATGGTGGCTGTAAATAATCAGTTTGAACAGCATTTAGAGCGAGCCTTCGATGATCCGGCTGTGCTGATCTGTTTCAGTCTGCAGAGACATCACACACACACTTTTATTTTTATTTTACTATGTATACTGTATTTTCCACCGTACACACAGCGCCCTATAAGTCGCATCATTTCGAAAATGTCTAATAAAGTGGGAAAATCCATAAATATGTCGCTTCTTCGTACAAACCAGATTCCAAACAAAATTAACACTAAACAAATTGTGAATAAAAACTGAATGCAATGATGTGGAGGTGCCAACATCTAATATTTTATTCAGAATAGAACACAAATCACAGATCAAAAGTTTAAACTGAGAGAATGTATCATTTTAAGGGAAAAATCTGTTGTTTCCAAATTTCATGGCATCAACAAATCCCTAAAAAGTTGGGACAAGTCCATTTTTACCACTGTGTGGCATCCCCCCTTCTTCTTACAACACTCAACAGACGTCTGGGGACAGAGGAGACCAGTTTCTCAAGTTTAGAAATAGGAATGCTCTCCCATTCATGTCTAATACAGGCCTCTAACTGTTCAATCGTCTTGGGCCTTCTTTGTCGCACCTTCCTCTTTATGATGCACCAAATGTTCTCTATAGATGAAAGATCTGGACTGCAGGTTGGCCATTTCAGTACCCGGATCCTTCTCCTACGTAGCCATGATGTTGTGATTGCTGCAGAATGTGGTCTGGCATTATTGTGTTGAAAAATGCAGGGTCTTCCCTGAAAGAGATGACGTCTAGATGGGAGCATATGTTGTTCTAGAACCTGAACATAGTTCTCTGCATTAATGGTGCCTTTCCAGACATGCAAGCTGCCCATGCCACAAGCACTCATGCAACCCCATATCATCAGTGATGCAGGCTTCTGAACGGAGCGTTGATAACAACTTGGGCTATCCTTGTCCTCTCTGGTCCGGATGACATGGCGTCCCAGTGTTCCATAAAGAACTTCAAATCATGACTCATCTGACCACAGAACAGTCTTCCATTTTGCCACACTCCATTTTAAATGACCCCTGGCCCAGTGCAAACGTCTGAGCTGTGGAGCTTGCTTAGAAATGGCTTCCTCTTTGCACTGTAGAGTTTCAGCTGGTAACGACGGATGGCACGGTGGATTGTGTTCACTGACAATGCTTTCTGGAAGTATTCCTGAGCCCATTCAGTTATTTCCTTGTTAGTGGCATTCCTGTTTGAGGTGCAGTGACGTTTAAGGGCCCGGAGATCACGAGCATCCAGTAGAGTTTTACGGCCTTGACCCTTACGCACAGCGATTGTTCCAGATTCTCTGAATCTTTTGATGATGTTATGCACGGTTGATGATGATAACTTAAAAGTATTTGCTGTTTTACGCTGGGTAACACCATTCTGGTATTGCTGCACTATCTTTCTGCACAACAATGGTGGAATTGGTGATCCTCTTACCATCTTGGCTTCTGAGAGACACTGACACTCTGAGACGCTCTTTTTATACCCAATCATGTTGTCAATTGACCTAATTAGTGTTAATTGGTCTTCCAGCTGTTTGTTATATGCTCAATTTCCTTTTTCCAGCCACTTATTGCTACTTGTCCCAACTTTTTTGGGATTTGTTGACACTGTGAAATTTTGAATCAACATTTTTCCTTTAAAATGTTACATTTACTCAGATTAAACTTTTGATCTGTCATTTATGTTATATTACAAATAAAATATTGACATTTGCCATCTCCACATCATTGCATTCAGTTTTTATTCACAGTTTGTTTAGTGTCCCAACTTTTTTGGAATCCGGTTTGTATTTATAACTGCATTAATTTCTAAAGGTTGGTATTTGTATCGGTTATGGGGGTTCAGTTTTCCTGTTTAGAGAAAGTGTGACTCTTTATTGCTGTCTGGTTGTTCTTGTCCTGCAGTGCAGATCCTGCGTGGTTGGCAGAGGATGTACCACATGACGACACATTTGAGCGCTGCAAAGCTCAGGTGCAGCGTTGTCCTTGGCTGTCCTCTGCTGCTCCCATCCCTGCTGACGGCGTATCGAGGTAACCACATTTAAAAACCACCAACAAGCTCAGATCTTCTGTTGGATGCACCCAGGCTACACTTTGTGTTCCACTACGTGGGCAAACCCAGCTCATATTTATGATATCAGTTAAAATCTCTTGTCTTTGAGTTCGAGACACAAATTCTAATGATTTGTTTCACATTAAAGACGCCAGCTTTTATGTCTATCTCTTATCAGTTGTATCATTTGGCCTGTATGTTTATGCACCAGGACAATATTTAACCTGAACTGTACATCACAAAGAATCTCTGAGGAGAGTTTCACAGTTCTGTTTTTTTTTACAGACGTTCCCACAGAAGTGGCTGGAGCAACTCGTTTCCATTCGGATTCATTTCGCCTTCGTTTACCTCCCCCTTAAACCCGAGTCATTTTGGTGAGTCTCGTTTGCAGAGTCACCTTCTGATGCAGTGAATCGTTGACATTGTGACCGTCATATCTTTGGGTAAAACATTGAAACGTCACCTGCCTGAGTCTCAAAGAACTGAGTTTTAAGGGTTTTGTTGGTGCAAAAACTCACTTACCAATCTGGTATTTTAGGATTTATTTTGAATACAAATAAAAAGAAAAAGCACATATAATGTATGTATGTGACAACAGTACAATAGTGTGGAAAAAATGTAATTAAAACAGTTCTTATGCAAGGGTGGGCACCATTTCCTTCAAAAAGGGTCAAATCAAGATATTTAAAGCAGTTAAAGGCCGCATGAAGAGTTGGAAAACACATTTTTTTAAGACGGGTAGTCTGGACCTAACTCAAGGGATGAACTAGTGCTGTAGCTACTAGGGGTTGGTGATGTAGCCTTAAAGTTATAGCACAATATTTCAGTATAATAGTGCCATTAATATTTCTGACATAGCTACAATTTAAAAATACATAACATTTTGCTAACAGAATGCTACATTGTAGCCCTTAGACAGACGTGGGCAACATATGGCCCGAGAGACAAAAGTCATCCTTGGACAATCTCCATTTGGTCCAACAACTTTTAAATAAGTTGATAAAAATCTGCATTTTGGACAAATACACTGAAAACCTTTGGATTAATGTAGACTAAAATAAACTTCTGTTTTTTTAAATCATTGTGTTTGCAGAAATATATTGAACCATACAAGAATCCAACAAGAAAACTTATTTTTTGTTTGTTTTTGACATATTTAAACTAAGAGATTTATTGTCACAAAAGCCAGTTAATAGAAAGTACGTATTATATTCCTGAAGAGTATCAGATACATATTTTAACAAGCATGCTAGCTATTCTCCCAACAAAAAACAAGGAGGGCTACAATGTAGCATTCTGTTAACAAAATATTTGGCATTTTTAAATTGTAGTCATGTCAGAAATATTAATGGCACTATTATACTGAAATCTTGTGCTATAACTTTAAGGCTACATCACCAACCCCTAGTAGCTACAGCACTAGTTCATCCCTTGAGTTAGGTCCCAAGCAGCCAGGGTACAAAGAAAAAACAATGAAGACTTTCAAAAACGTCAAGTTAGGATCTGTATTTTGCTAAATTACCTTAGCAGCAGAGATCCAGCTCTTTTTCTTCTTTGCCCTAATTGTCCACTGTTGGTAAGGTCATATACCTTAAAACATCAGCCTTCTTCGCAGCAGTCTTACAGCGGTTTGAGTCTAAAAGCCCAGAACCAGGTGAGGATTTTACCAACTCCCTAGTTCTGTTCACAACCGTATCTTTGTCTCCCCCAGTCTTTCAGGGTGTTGTCTGTGCTGTCACGTGTCCCAAAGGAGGAGAGAAACGAGGCGGCAGATCCTCAACGTCCAAAGCACCTACCAAAGAACAAGTGTCTCTACCCTCCAGGAGATCTCGACGCAACAGTAAACTCAGTGAGGAAACTCCCACGTCAGATTCCAAGTCACCAACGCAGTCCAGTTTGTCGGACTCCGACTCGGCCGCCGGTCAATCCAACAAGCCAACCAAACCGCCTCAGGCGCCGGCCAAGAGGAAAGGCAAACGGGTAACAAATCGAAAGGCCGGTGGCAAGAGGAAAGCCAAGAAAAAAAATGCCAGCTGCCCAGCAGCAAGCGATGAAGAGGAGGAGAAAGAGGAGGAAGGTAACGGAAGTAGCAAATGTGAGGCTGTAGAACAAGAAGATGAAACTAAAGAGCAGGATCTGAAGGACTCGGAACAGCAGCAAACTGATGCTGAAGGCGACCTCAAAGAAAAGCAGAGCGGATTGAACTCTGCTGATGAGCAACAGGGTCCAGAATCTTTAAACAGTGTGGAGCAGAGCGACGAAGAGGCTCCGGGACAATCCAGTGAAGAGCCTCAAGAAAAGAGAGCTGATGACAGAAGCTGCGACCTCTCCGCTCACAGTCCTGGTATGTGCGCTGAAGGTGCTCAGAGCGATAAAGAGGAAGAAGAGACGGCTAGTCCAAGACTGGCTGGAGAACAAGAGTCTCAGAAAAGGACTTCACATTCCTCTGACTCTGAGGACACTCCACTGAAAGACTCTGCGTCTCCGTCTCCTCAAAGTGATGATCACACGGAGCAGGAGGATACCATGGAGACGTGTGTGCAATCAGGAGAATCCAGCACTGAAGAGTCTTCAAAGGAACCGAAGGTTGAATTGGACAAAGAAGCACAATCTGGTCTGACAGGTGAGTTGGAGGAAAACGTGACAAACAATGCCACATCAAAAGAAGATACCGCACCCAAAGGTGGCACTTCGCCCAATGCAGAAGATGTCATGCTCAAGGACACCACCTCCAATGGAAAAGATGCCATGGTCATGGGCAAAGGTGGCATCTCACCCAGTGGGGTAGAGATCATGGGAAAGGGGTATGTCTCACCCAAAGAGTACATCTTTCCAAAGGGGGATGCCTCGCACGAGGAACGCACTTCACTTGAGGAGAAAGGTGTCATTCTCAGGGGTGAGGCCTCACTCATTGGAAAAGATGTCACGTTGAAGGGTGACGCTGTGCCTAAAGGCGACGTCTCCCTGAAGGGTGATTCCTCACCTAATGGGGACAGCACACTCAAGGTGGAAGACCCCATGCCGCAGGGCAACTGTGCACCCAGTGACAATGGAACGTCTAAGGATGACACGAATGTTGTGCCCATGGATTGCAGTTCGCCCCTGAGTGAACATGGGAACAGTTCCTTTCTGAATCTTCCAAGTGTGAAGACTTCCCCTGCTGCTTCAGAGACACTTGCTACTGTTCAGAACACTCAAGTCACCAATGCTGACAGTGCCTCTGAACGACAAGCGAGGGAGGGGAGTCATGAGCGAAAGAACGACAAGCAGCGGCGCTCTCGCTTCCACTCCGCAACCTCCACCTGGTCACCTCAGAGGGACTCCAAGAGGGAACCATCCAGACGCTCACGATCAAGAGACCGTGACGGCAGCGCACCTTCAAGTCGATCCTCAGGAGCTCGCAGCAGAGACAGGGACAGAGACGGCGAGCGAGACCATTCTAGAAGGAACCGCAGCCGTGACAGACGGCGGCGGCGATCCAGAAGCCGCTCCAGATCGAGGTCGAGATCTAGATCTCGATCGAGAACAAGATCCTACCGACGAGGTTCCAGCCCTGAACGGGCACCATCCAGAGACTGGTCTCCCCCGAGGAAGGAGCGTAGGTGTGGATGGAAGACTGGGGGTGAAGGTCACGATGGACGAAGATATGGAGGTTCTAGCCGCTTTGAAAACGGTCTTCCTCCAGAAAGTTCTCTTGATCGCCAGGGTTGGTCAGAGAATCCTGACTGGGTTACAGAAAAGACTCGGTCTGATAGTGAGAGCAGGAGCCGGGACTCTAGTTTCAGCGCCGGCTCACGTTGGGAAGACCAACGCAGGAGCGGAGGAGAGCTCCGTGGCCGTGGAGGATTTGAACGAGGCGGAGGCTCTGGACGGGGCAGCGGCAACCGTAACTTTTACAACCAACAGGAAGAACCCTCCGACAGACGCTGGCAGCCCAGAAACAACTTCTCAGGAACAGGCAACAATTCAGGGAATGACTCCTACAGCCGCTTCAATGAAAACCGCGTTGGTGGCCGAAAGAAAGAGTCGGAGCCAGGAGAGTCTATGGTTGACCGGTCCGGCTGGTCCTCAGCATCCAGCTGGGCCATCAGGAGGACTCTGCCTGCAGATGTGCAGGATTATTACTCTAAAAGAGATAGAGGGTCCAGCAGCTGGAGCCGACAAGAGGAGGAGCAGCCGCCGGCAACAGCAGGTTTGATTTTACTACAGTGTCTTGTGACCTTGTGCCAAATGTTGCTGTCAGAGGAAATTAATTTCAGCTGAGCAGAATAATCAGAAGAGACTGTTTTAGATTTTAATCACCTTGAAGTTAACGTTTTGTCTCAGTATGTGGAAAATGTATATGATTGTTTACTGTGTTGCTAATTAAACTTCACCTATTTTTTTCTTCTCAGATCCCCCGAAAAGCGACCCTCCCCCTCCTCCTCCTCCTCCTCAGGTGCAGGTAGTCCCGGTGAATCCACCAGTAGCCGTGATGAATGTGCTTCCCCCTCATCCTCCTCAGCTAAACGTTCTTCACCACCATCAGTACCCCATCCAGAGCCTGCAGGGACCCCTACCGGTCACCTTGCAGCCTGCAGCGCCCTTTGTCATGCCCCCCCAGGTCCCCGTGCACCTCCACCGCGCTGTCCCGTTGATTCAGGTGCCGACTGTTGGTGCCCAGGGCCTCCCGCCACCTCCTCCGCCGCCTCCACCCATGCAGGCAGGAAGCCAGGTGGCTGTTACGTCAGCTCAGCCTGATGGTCACGCAGCTCAGGTAGGCCTGTCGCGATAAACAATAAATCAATTAATCGCATGGTGAAAATTATCAACCTCATTTTCATTTATCGTCTTTATTGTTTCTTCTTCTCTCGCTTTTGACTGAAGACACTGGATGACAAAAGCCTCCAGTGCTCTTCACTGACTCCTCCCCTTTTAAAAAAAAAAAATTCATTTTAATCGTCCAAAATCACGTTTTTGGATGGTTAAAGCAGCTAAGCTACGAGCTAAGCTAACAGGCCGACCTTGTGGGGGGAAAAACCTTTGTCTTGAAGCTCCAAAATTCATGGTTGAAACCTGTGCCTTCGTGTAAAAAGTCGTTTTTCTCTGCAAAAAGAAGCGGAGAACTTGTTTACTGATTAAAAAAAAAAATTTTTTTTATTAAAGCGTCATGTGACAAATGTTATGCTAAAGAGCTCACTCAAAACACACAGAGCGTCTGCCATTTTGAGAACTGAAAAACAGGAAGTAGAAACAGCCCATGTCATGTCAAGGGGCCTCCCTCCCATTTCTCTTAAAGAGACACGCTGCTCGCTCCCTCACTATCCATCTTTCAGTTCAAACAGTCTTATACTGCCACCCGGTGGTCAACAATTGTACTACACACAAAAAGTAACCAACATTTCTTCTTAAATTTGACAGTAATTACTAATTATTGCCCAAATTTCAAACATTATCGTTTATTGCAGTAATTTCTAAGAATTAATCGCCCAACAAAAATGATTTATCGTGACAGGCGTAAGCTCAGGTACACGGTGAAGATGAAACATCTGAGAGGGTCGAATTTGAGATAGTGTATTACAATGAAGAGCCTCATGCAAACATTTGCACGATCTGCGTTGTTCCAGATGGTGAGCGCGGTCATCGGTTACGGCAAATCTGCCCTTCTTGTCACGCCATCCAAAGGGAGCGTGGGCCAGCCAGCCCCCAGCCATGCGCTGCCATCCTCTACGACTCAACCCAGCCAGCACAGCAAGGCTCAGGCTGACAGCTCTAAAAAAGAAAAGGTACCAACCAACCATCTGCTGCCTGATGTGACAAAAGTCTCGGCATCTTGTGTCAGATTGTCTTTCTATTTCCTAGAAACAGCAGATCCAAGAGAGAGCAGTAAATGAAGTTAAAACAGCCATCAAGCCATTTTACCAAAAGAAGGAAATCACAAAGGAGGAGTACAAGGAGATTGTTCGCAAAGCAGTGGAGAAGGTACACCCTCACCCCCACCCCCAGTCCTCCCTGTGAGCAGAACGAGAGTAACCAGAGCTGGATGTGTTTGTGTTCCCTCAGGTTTGTCACAGTAAGAGCAGGGAGGTGAACTCCAGTAAAGTGGCCAACCTGGTCAAAGCCTACGTTGACAAATACAAACACGCCCGCAAGAAATGACCAGGAGCCCCTCACACCCGCCCTGCTGCTCAAGTGCAATTTCCTCCTGCTGGAACCTGTGGTTTTTGATACCTTTTATCGAATGAAGATGTTTGTTTTTTTTAACAGATTTTCATATTTTGTTAGAAATGAACGACCTGACCGTAAATTGTAACGCAAGAGCCCTTTATTTTGCATAAACCATGGGACTGGAACTGCTGTACAGAGAGCAGCGTGTCTGCAGGAGATGGAGGTGTGAATGAACGACGGCGCTCTTTAAAGATGGAGTCGAGAGTTTCCACGGGTGCCGGCTGGTACATTGTCTCCTCTGTGGCCTCTTGGTGATTGATTATTAATAATGTTTAAAACAAACCAGTTCAATTGAAATCCTAGTCAAAAGTGCTTTGTCCTTATTATTAAACTGATGATGATTATAATCCAGTCACTGACTGGATCCAAAGTTTCAGCTCCAATCAGCAACGAGTGTATCAGGTAATGTTTAAAGGGGGGGGGGCGTGACCCCCACCCGCTGAATGCATAAAGAATATCTGTGCGTGTGGACTGTGCAGAGTATCCAGAAAATAGTGGAATAAATTAGCTGCTTCTGTGTGTGCCGTTTGGTTCGTACCGTACATGAGGCGACGAGACGATTCGGGGGGGCGGGGGTGCAGCTCCTGGTGTTAATGTTCTGTTTCACCTTGAAGCTTGGTCCTTGACATTTTGGTAACTTTTGTAAAACCTGTGCAGCTTGCTCTACGTTTGTAAAGAAGCCTGACGAGCGGCGACGATCAAAGACACTGGATTCCCACGCAGGCGTTTTCTAAAGCCCCGCCCACTTCCTCTCAGGTGGCTTCGGCCCCCCACGTTCTGACAACAGGTCTTATCCCCAAAGACAAGAGCTGAATAAAAACGATGGTTTAATTTTGTTTGCAGCCTTCAGCCTGGTGTTTTACATGTTGCACTTGAAAACAAAGTTCTTAAAGTTTGGAACCATAGAAGGTTCAGTTCTGACCTTTGAACCCTTGGGTAAAGGCAGGTATGGAAACAAAACGTGTAGGCCTAATTTTAAAGACAAGGAAAATTTTAAATATAAAGTAAAACATGTTTCTTTAGGTTGCTCCTGTCTTCAGGGGTCACCACAGTGAAAAGTTTGGTAATTTGTTTTACGCCGGATACCCTGACACAACCTGGGCTTGAACCCGCAACCTCAGGATTACAAGACCGCTACCACAGCCCCATATATTTTATATATATATATATATATAAACTGAATTGAATATATATATTAACTATATATACAGACCCTTTCCAATAAATTAGAATATCATGGAAAAGTTGTTTAACTTCCATAATTCCATTCAAAAAGTTCATATTTAATTGAAGATAGATTCAGGGTCCACAATTTAAACAATTTCAAGTATTTATTTGTTTATTTTTACATAATTTGAGCTTCCAGCTCATGAAACGCATGAAAACAGGATTTCAAAAAATTATAATACTGTGGAGAAATCAGCTCAGATGTTGCAGGACATGAATGTTTTAAACTGAGTGTGACACTAATCATCTACCAAACTCAAAGCACCTGCACAGGTTTCCCCAGGTGTCATTTAATTTCTTCAGTTTGGATCAATTGTCTCAGTTCGGTTCAATATGGGGAAGACTGCAGACATAACTGGCCAGAAGATCATCATTGACCCCCTCCATAGGATGGGTGAGCCACAGAAGTTCATAGCTAAGGAGGCTGGCTGTTCATAGAGTGCTGTGTCCAAGCATATCAAGCATATCAGTGGAAAGACAAAATGTGGCATGCCACAGTGCTGGCCAGCCAACTCACCGGACCTGAACCCCATTGAGAATCTATGAGGTATTCTCAAGAGGAGAATGAGGAGCACCAGACCAACAACAAAGAAGAGCTGACAGCATCAAGGAAATCTGGGCTTCCATTACTCCCAGTCAGTGCCACAGGATGATTGACTCAATGTCACGTCACATCGAGGCAGTGATTAAGACAAAGAGATTCTCAATCAAATATCGAAGATTGACATATCGTTTTGAAAGTATCGTATTTTGATTGATTTGTTGTGATCCTGATTATTTTATTTTTATTTTTTCTGCAAAAACACGTGTGGGCTGATGTCTTCACAGTATTCTAATTTTTTTTTTATCGTTTTCGTGGGTTTCATGAGCTGGAAGCCCAAATGATGTAAAAATAAACAAATAAATGCTTTAAATTGTGGGTCCTGAATCTATCATCTATTAAAGATTAACTTTTTGAATGTAATTATGGAAGTTAAACAACTTTTCCATGATATTCTAATTTTTTGGAAAGGTTCTGTACATGCATGTAATATATATATGTACGATGTAATGATAGTAACAAATTAATGAAAAGCATCAAAATAAAAACAAAATATAAATCAGATCACACTGTGTTTAAAGTCAGAGAAAGCGTGTGTGTTTTTAGCAGAGATTTACAAACAGGAAGTGAAGTGGTCTGTCTAATGCTGGGGGGCAGATTGTTCCAAAGTTTGGGACCTATAACTGAAAATGGCTGATCTCCTCTGAGCTTCAACCAAAAGCAGAAGATCTCCGGGCCGGAGAAGGAGCACATGATTCCATACTGAAGCTACTATTAAAGTTACAGGTAATTAAATTGTATTTTAACTGTGTGACTAAAACAGGTCATTCTTGGCCATTTAACGTTTGGAAGATTAAAAACAAACTTCTCACATGCTGGTTGTTCTGGTGATCCAGTTACATGGATCCACTGAAAACCACTCGAGGGCGACATTGTACAGTGGAAAATGTGGGCCTTCAGTTTTGCTGGTTAAGATAAACAACTTACTAATAAGTTAATTAAACAAAGGCAAAATGACAAATAGCCCTGCAACAATAATGCTCTTACCCTCCATCATGACTGTTGCTTTTATTTTTTGTGAAATTTCGAAACAATATGTCCTGATGCATCCAGGTAGAAACATCTAACAAGGTCAAGTCGGGCCCTCTGGACGGTTTCTTTGTTGAAATATTGTGTATTTTATCCAAAAGACCTTCAGCCTCAGGCGCTGCAGCAAACAGTCTTATAAACGGTTCTCAAAGCGGATCAGTCAGCTAGAACTAGCTGTTCACAAGCGCAGGGAGGACCATCCACCTAACAAGTGAAGTTGAACGGGCGGGGTCCTCCATGTTCATGTCACCTGCTTACAATGACAAGTACCTGTCAGCCCTCTGGATGGCAAACTGTCATCAGGCACTAACGATCGATGGTCCACCCTTTTGTACGTGCACAATTAGTTCTAGCTGTCACCAACAAACTGATGGATCCACTATGAGAAGGTGCAGCTTCTAAGAACCCATCCAGAGACATGACTCAGTCTGGTTAGATTGTGAGACAACAGGTTACCGTACTTGAGAAGTGGGTCTGCTCCAATAATCCATTTGCTTGTTGGTTCAGGTGGGACCAGTTCCACAGCGAATCAGGATTTCTTTTTTTTTTTTTGTCCCAACAGGACATTGCTGTTCCAACCAGTGGTGTAGCCAAAAACGAGTTTTCAGGTGATCCCGATAGAAAGTGGGTGAGCCACCAAATTAAATCCAGCTTTTTAAATAAATGGAAAGCAAAAAAAAAAAAGAAGTTTAGCAGGAAACTTATCTTTGAAGATGTTGAGGTTCTCCTTGGACAAGGATGGATAAGATCTGGAATGAGATCATCAGAGGTACAGCACAGGTTGAACAACTGGGAGATGAAGTTAGAGATCAGACTGAGATGGTTTGGACATGTCCAGAGGAGGGACAGTGGGTATACTGGTAGAAGGATGTTAGAAATGCAGCTGCCAGGACAAAGACAAAGAGGAGATGTATGGATGCAGTTAGAGACATGGAGGTAGATGGAGTGAGGACAGAGAGAGATGGAGGACGACTCGCTGTGGAGACTAGAAGATCATCCTGGGTTTATTTCTTCTGCATCATCAGTACAGACTCACATTTTTATTCACTAGCTCATAAAACATTATTTTTGTGGGGATGATCCAGTTTAGTTCTGAGCCTTAGTTTAGGAGCCACGGGTGTTCAGAGATTTGAACAGTGAGATCCCATCGGACCAACTGAACCAGCTTCTTTGACACCGCGGGGTTCCAGAACATCTGCAGATGTTAAAGGATCTGAGTCTGAGCAGGAAGTACAGTCGACTCTGACCCTGTTCGTGTTGCTTGACCAGTCCAGCTGTCCCAGTGCCTCAGATACAGAACCATCTACGTCCACGCCAGTAACGGACAGGAGAAAGGCTGGAGGTTATCTTGGGTCCCCCACCAGTTCTTTGGGTAATACAATCTTCAGACCATCACACAAACATCTATGATGCATTACTTGTGCTGAAAAATTACAAAATTCCTGCCAAAAAAAAACAACTCCTCCAAGTTCTTGCGAATAACTTCTTGTTTTTTTCTCTTCAGTTATCTTTCTCCATCTAAGCTTTGATGAACACGCATTATAGTTTTGACAATGTTTCACTTCAGATGCCCTTCCTGACACAACCCTCACCATCTACCCCGGCTTGGGACCAGAACCAGAGATACACTGGCTTGTGCTCCCCAGTGTCTGGTTTTCGCTCTTGCGAATAACTCTGCACGTAAATGTAATATGAACTTGATGGCGTGTATTTCAAAAATAGCATTCACAAGGTTAGAGCTATTTTAATGTGTCAGTATCTGTTAGGTCAAGTGTAGCTCAACCAAAATGTTTGACCCACCAACACCTCGCAGGTCTCCGAGAGTCCACAAAAGACAGCGAAAGTCCAGGTTGTAGAGTGTAGTTGGTTTTATTTGGACATTAATTACAAAATATACACGTGTTTCACTGAAACAAGACTTTAATACTGACGGGCAAAGCCCTTTTTGCTCCTGAGGTCAGGAGAGGTTTAGTCCTCTCAACCGTGCTGTGCCAAAAAGAACTATTTGATCCATCATCTTTGTATTTAGGAGCTTTAAAAAAAAAAAATTAGAATTTTTTTGGTTATACATCGCCAATGTTTTCTTGGTTAAAAAAAAAAATAAGTAACCAAACAATATTTACATTTGAACGCAATAGATTATATATACACATACACACATAAATATACACAATAGTACATAAATAAAATAATTACACTGATTTTACGTTCTCCCATAAATAGAAGACAGTTTGACGACGCGTTCGTGTCGGGGACACCGTGCGTCGTCTCGAGGCGGGAAGCGAGTTCTCGCCGAGCTCCCGCGTTCTTCACGTGAAACGTTTAAAAAAAAAAAAAAAAAAACACGAAAAGTCCACGCTCTTCTGTTCGTCTGGCAAAGTGAAGAGCTGGACTTCAGATAACCGTTGGGTTTTTGTAACAGGTAAATATTACAACCACTGCACGTGGTCAAATTTGACGTATTCTCCCAAAAAGAAAAAAAAAAAATTGTTCGTGTTCCTGCTCTCCGCTCTGGAGTGGAGAGGTGGAAAAACCGGAAATCGGTGGATTTCCGGTTGTTTTGTGAAATCGGCGGCCTCCTCAAAGCTGTAGTGTTGCTGTGCACGTTGCTCCAAGATATTTAAAAAGCTATAAAGTACAGTGTAAGTCGTGCTCTTATTGTGCAACAGCGGTTCTCACAGTCGGGTTGTTAACGGACACACGAGCCGACAACGACGACGACGTCACAAAGCTTTAGTCGAAACACTGAAAAAGCAACGTTTTAGGGCACGCCGCTGACGTGTGCTGAACCTCTGGTGCTCTTCAACATTCTAAAACGCTGTACAAATACATTTTTGGCAAAGTAAAAAAAAAAAACAAAAAAAAGATTTTAAAAATAACCGTGGGATAAATATTCAAGTCACGTAGCCTCCGGTCAGTCTCCGGGAGTTTTCCGCCCTTCTCTCAGCAGGATGCTGACGCTGAGCTCGGAGGTTACCGCCACACAAACACCGGCGCACCCGAGAGTACGCCGTGTTCTTAACTCCACCGCTACGAGGCACGTTTCTGCATTCGTTTTCAGCTGCACCCTAAACTACATAAAGACGAAAACATTTGTCAAAAGTTATGATGAAAAGAGAGAAAAGAAAAAACACCATCTTCGTGGTCTACGACAGCATACTGTACACGTTCTAAGATGTTCTCTAGGAATGGTACGGACTGTTGCTCAGAAGATCACAACTGAGCATAGAGCGAGTTTTTTTTAATGGTTTTCTTCGTTCGTGACTGGTTTTCATCTTGATCGTGCATTTGTTACAGTCCAACTCCGAGAACTTTGGTTAAGCCGTGGTTCTAGTGTCCGTTGTCTTTGGCGCTGTTCACGACCCAGTCGGCGATGATGAGGCTCATGCTGCAAACCATGACCACGATTCCACATGCCAGAAACAAAACGGCCTGCCGAGGAAAAATAATCACTATTAACAGGGTTCAGATTTTAACACGAACTAAGATTTTTATTTTTTTTTACCAATACCAGCACGTTTTTTTTTGTTTTTGTTTTGACCAGAGCCAAGTTAAAGGTTCAGGCTCCATCCAAAAGACTCCAGATAGGTTCTTGTTTGCATGAGAACGTTTTTATTAAATCAATTTAAATACAATGCTGAAACTAGGTGGTGAGAATGTCCATATTAATACAACTAGAAACAAAGAACATTTTATCTCGACTAAAAAAAAAAAAAAAAAAAATTGGTAAAAACTGCTCCATTTTTGTTTTGGTTTCTAGGATACAAATTAACAGAGAGCATGCACAAAGCAGGGCCTTGTGCAATAATTATTTTAAAAGTTTCATATCTCAAATCCACACGAAGGCGTGCTTCTAAAACATCTAAAGTAGTGTAGACGGAGCTTAAAACTAAAGAGAGGCAGCTACACGTTAAAGACATGCAAAGCTCATGGGACTGTTCTGTTTAGAACGCCTTACCCCAATCTTTTGCGGAGAGTTTATTGGCTCCTTCTTGACCAGTTTGATGTAGAAAGCCGAGGGCAGGATGAAGATCAGCATCGAGGCAGCGGAGGCGCCTGAGGAGAAGAACAAATAATAATTCTGGTCACTCAAGCTTCTTGAAGTCATGCTGTAAAGACATGAAATTATATGGATACTAACCAAAGAAGCAAAAGATGTCCTTGATGGTGGGGACGAAGATGACCAGGAGGTTGGTGCTACCCAGCAGCACCACGGTGATGATGATGTGGCGGATCCAGCTGAAGTCTTTCTTGGGGCACAGGAGGTGGCTGACCGAGGTACGAATCTATACAGGAGACAAAGAGGTCAACTTGTAGGACAAATTATGTCTGCTGGCACGCTCTCCAAGTACAAGTACTTGGTGGATACTTACAGGGAAGAGCACAACAGGAACGGTGAGCGTGACGGCAGCCAGCACAGCCAGACGGACCACCAGCAGAAGAACATCTTTCTTGTAGATTTTGGAATATGTGTGCAGCAGCTCAGCTTCCACGTGTACTGTGAAGAAAAATAATAAAGACGATGAAGTTGACACATTTATAAAAAGGTCCAAATATAAAAAGGTCTGTGGCGTTAGCAACAAATCGCGAAAAAGGACTAACATGTTTTAATGCTTTCAAACAATAATGACTTGGAACTAATTAGGAAAATAAACGTTGCTAAACGTCAACACGTCTTCTTTTTTACAAATCAGTGGGAATAAAAGCAGATTATTGCTTTGAGCTACTTTAGAGAGCTGTGCTAAGTGACTGGCTGTGCTACTAGCGGGCTAAAAAACTATCTGGATTAGCTGCTTTTTCTGTACAACAATAGCAGATTAAAATGAGAAGTTAAGTTACGGTCAACATCAATGCTAAACACCAGCTTGTTAGCCATGCTAATGTGCATGTTAGCATACAGACACTAGCGTTTTGCTGCAAGCTGCAACTTAATGCAACGCAGCTTCTTTGTTGTATTTAAATAGCAAATAAATACACTTTTACATTAAAAAATTGTACTTTGTTTAAAAGTTGTTTTAAAACTGCAAGTTGAAACAATATGGTAGTTAAAGCATTAGCATTAGCGTTATGCTAATGTAGCATAATGCTATGCTTTTTAGACAAACCTCGTTGCATGTTAGCATGTAAATGCTACTTCTTGTTATTTTTCAAGTTTGGCTTGTTAAATTTAGTAAATAGTGTGAAATATTTTAAATTTCTTACAAATATGGGGTAAATTTGAACACTTGTGTTGGATAATTAGCAGTAGTGGGCACAGCTAACCAAAAAGTTAGCTTCGCTAACCACTAAGACGACTGTCAGTCTGCGTCATTTGTCTTTGTCTCCTTCCAGCTAACGCTGCGTCGACCAATCATGTCACACTACACGTAGTCAGCCAATAGCGTGCTTAACGGACTCTTAAGACACGCCCACAACAGATGGGAACAAGCTTGTGAATTTCGTTGGCAGACTTAAAGTTGGCGAAACCTAATTTAGCGGAAGCTAATCCTTCAACTTCCAAATTTAGCGAAAACGCTAATCTGCTGAGTGAAAAATAATTTCCGTCGTTAGCCGAACTGTGCCCACCACTGATAACTGGCATGACGATGACCCTTCCTGATGAGAAAACCTAAATGTTTTTGGATTTTTCTCAACCTAAAAACAGCACAACAGATTGATTCACAGTGTTGATGTGCCTCTGTTGGTACTCAAAGTGTTTCTCCTGGTGTTACTCAAGCTGTTTAAAAACGCTCTTATGCAGGTGGGGTGATGTTCCCGAACATTTCCGTACAGCCGTGGGGACCAACGGGAACATGCTGGCACCGGCTGAATCAGGTGGGCTTTTCTCACGCTGCTGTTTCAGTGGCCTCGAGCACTTAAATCTGTATTTGTCCTGGCGTTGTGTTTGCTTATCGTTGACCGTTTTAGTCAGAAAATGAAGGACTCACTGTTGAAGGTGAGGTATCCAAAGAGCGCAGCCAGCAGGTACATGATGAACATGGCCAGAAAGGACAAGTTGGCAACGCTCTGCATCTTTTTGCGAGAACGACTGTTCAGGAGACACAACGGGGAACGCGTTAGTTTTAGAAGTTCATAGTTCGTCACGTTGAAACGTCGAGCATCGGGAGAGGCACTCACTCTTTGAGCTCCTCGTACATGGGCAGGATGGTCGGGTGGCACACGAAGGCAAAGATCAGGATGGGCAGAGCGTAGACCGTCTGGAAAGAAAGGCGCGATGCAAACGTTACAGCTGACCCTCCCACAAGTTGCGTTTTAGTCCTGAGGGTGCCCACAATGCAAAAGAGCCGTACCTGTGAGTTGATGACGACGTATTTTGGTGTGCAGGTGTCCTCGTCCTCAGTGGAGTTGACGGTGTGGGAGGTGCCGTTCAACATCTGCATGGTTTTATTCAAAGAGTCGGGAATTGGCAGAGGGCACGGGATCTGGTACTTCTTGATGATCACCTAAAGGACAAGGCAGGAAAACACTGAGACTTTCCTTATGAAAGGCTTTGATAGCGTGTGCGCACAAGCTCAGATTATGTGGGGTTTTTTTTTAATCTGACACCATTTGTTCTCCATTCCTTAATCTTCCTTGCAGGATGAAACACGCTTCTCTGGAATACTGATATTAAACCTCCGAGTGTCGCAAGAAGTAAACTCGTCTGCAGGAAATCCGCTGGCATGCGAGGAATGAGGAAACAAGGTGGGGTCGTACTCACCACAATCAAGAAGAACACCATGCAGAGGAGGGACAGGCCGCTGGTGTAGCCGAGGTAACCTGAGGGCGGAGGCAAAACACAAATATCACCCATGAGCTGCTTCTTGGTTTGAAGCTGGATAATCACGTGGCTGTACAAATCACGCTCCTTACCCAGGTTCCTGAGCAGCGAGAGGGGCAGGATGATACTGAGTGAAACCAGCAGCACCAGGTAGTCTCCGTTGATGTACCACTCACTGCCACGGGAGAAAAAACACCACGTCAGTGACGAGGCTTCATTAAAGTCGGTCAATACGTTGTTAAAAGCAGTGCTCACACAGTCCCTTTTCTTTAAAGTAAGCTAAATAACCAGAGCGAGCGCGGACTATTTGCTGGCAGGCTCCACGAACAGCTGACGTGATCTGGACCGACGGCGCAACAAAGCGGCACAGAGCGGCACAGAGCGGCCCCGGCCACGTCTGATCTGTGTTTAAAGTCAGAGTGAGCTCCGTCTCGCCGCGGCACCGGCTTCATCTTCTGCAGGAGCTCTTCCAAGTTCAGAACCGTGGAAGTCCTGGCGTCCTTTCAATACGACCAAACCTCCACGGACAGTGTCCATCCCTCCCTCTTACCGATAATCCCATTTATTCTCTGGATAAACACAGCTCTTAAACAAATACTTTGACCTCTTTGTTAAAAAAAAAAACTATCTCTTAAAAACACCTGTTCAGGATGCAAACAGGTAACAGTTGTTTCCATTTATGGAAAATTGTAAATATACTGGCCAGGTTTGCCTCAGGCTGGTTCTGTAAATAGCAGGCGGCCTTCAGGCACTAACCATCGATCGTGAGCTTACTGGTAATCCTTTTTACATGGGACAAGCTGGTTCTGGAGGTCTCCAAACTCTGAGAAGGTGCTATTTATAGGACTGAGTCTGTGGCTTTTGGATGAAAGACTAAACCTTTCAACCAAGAAGAATCACCTGACTTCACTTTCTTGGATACGCATTATCACTTCTCACCACTAGTGGGCGCAACAGATCATTGAGACGATCCTGAAATGATCCCGACTTTGTTTGTAATCCATACAATTACACATAACTCAGTGAGATATTTTACTCTTACATCACCCCCCATGACCTTTAGATAGATGAATATAAACGGTGCCACTTACTCGTTGTTAGCTCCCGTAAAAGCCTGGATGACGATGGGCAGCTCGTATTTGATGATGTAGAGGTAGCTTGACATGGCTGCACAGAGACAACCAAGAGTTGGAACAAGTAACAAACATAAATCAATTGTTTATGGTTCAAGTGCGAGTTCCTCACCTCCAATGTTCTGCATGGTGATGGCGCAGGAGGCTGCGAGTTTGCCGGGCATCCCGAAGGCTTTGTGGCCCAGCTCCTCGTAAACGCGGGCACCTTTGAAGGGATTCAGTCATGAAATTTCAGCTTTGGCGCTTAAATGTGACCGCACTAGGCCAACAGGAAGTTCTGCTTCTCTTACCTCCTTCATTGGCCGTTTTCAGCAGCAGGTGGACAGAATACAAAGAGAAAATGGCGACGGCCACTAGGAGAACCCTGTAAACACACAGGAAGGAGCTTGAACCAAAGTGAACGTGCAGAGGAAACCAGGATATGATCAGGGCTAAACTGCTGAGCTTTAAGAGCTAGGATCCGTCTGCTGATGACGCCACACTCATTTGATCCCACAAACACTCAGATCTTGTCTTTTAAAGCGTTTCCTGGCTTTCATTTACACAACTCTGTTCAAAGAGTCTCTTTAGCATTAGCAGGGTTGTAAAGGTCAAAAGGTGTCCCCTGTACGAGATCCTCTTAAAGCCTCTGGGACACTGCTGAGACAGTACAGGGTGTCCTGGGGTATTTATAGTCCAGGTGAAAATTAATCCCCCAACGCCGCCATTTGAGCCTCTTCACAGACATACTGCCCAGAAGACTTACTGGCCTCTCCTCCATCTGCATACCAGCTTTTCTTAGAAGTACCTCATCCTTTCTGTCGTTTCATACCCTCCAGCTGAGCACATTTACACCTCAGAGGGCCTTTTTTGGGGAATCGGTTCAATCAAGAGATTGTTTGTTGCGTCAGAGTCAGAGTGGCATTAGGTTGTAGAAATCCCTGACTTCCTGCAGATACAGGGCTCTGATTGGTCAGCTGCTGCCGCTATGCTTCGTTCATGACCTCCGGCATTCTCGTCTACGTTTACGTAACGACTGGCGCAGAAGGATTAGCACGGCTAATCTGCTTCCCCCGCCACGCCCCGTGTTCGTGAAACGGCCCACACCAAATGAGACGTGGAGCTCACGAAATGTGCTGCACCGGAAACATCTCAAAGTTCTTCAGTTCATATAATTTGGTGCACTGAACGACGCGACAGGGCACGCTCGTCCAAAACTCGCATTCTCCTTAAAAGCTCAACTCTCTCCTCGATTTTATCTACAGCAAACACGATAGCAAAGGAGTAGAACTGCAGACACCAACAACCCCCTGGCGCGGCGTCATCTGCCTCGCTCTCAGGGTCGAGCAGCTGTTGAATCAACACACGCCGCTGACGGGAAACCCTGAGATACATCAGGACCTGAGACCTTGAAGCTGAAGACTAAACCACCGCCGCTGCTTCTCAGCAGAGTTCACGGTAACTCAAAGCATTAATTATGAATTTGTGCTCTGGATGAGGGGACGCTTACACAAACAGGGCGATGCCGGTGTTGGCCATGGCCCAGGACAGACCCAGGATGCCGCTGCCCATGATGGCGTTGCCCAGGTTGAAGACGGACATCCCGAAGGAGGCGTTGCCTTGATGCTGAAGAGGGGAACACAAGAAACTCAGCAACGACGGAGGGAAACACTTGCACTGATACGTATAGAAGGTTAAAACGAGCTCTTACGTATTCCGCCTCATACTTCTTCTTGTTCGGGTTCACTTCTGGGAGGAAGTTTTGGCTTTCTGCATCCACATCTGGATACTGGCTGTAAAGGAAGAGCAAAGCCTTCAGAGACCGCGCGGGCGCACCGGGGTCAGATTAGGGAGTTGTACCGCGACGCGAGCCTCACCCATCCAGAGGGACCTTCTTCATCAAGTCGGAGTACGGAGAGTCGTTGCTGTTGATGCTGCTGCTGTCATCATCCCGAGCGACACTCAGGGACCTCATCTCGGCTCCCGGCTGTTTGTCACCTGGCATCTTCTGAGCTGGGGGAAAGAAAAATGGAGCTCGGTTAAGATCGTTGGCCTCTTTATTGTTCAACCTGCGCGCGCCCATTCAGCTGCGCTTTTTAACGCATGGTTGTTTCTCTGTGGAGGGAGGAGGGAGGAGGGGGGAGGGGGGAGGGAGGGGCGGTGACGCATCAGTAAGTGGAAAAATACCAGAGTTGCATCCTGAACATCAACCATCTGAGGATGCTCGTCAAAAATCTGCAGTGCGCTTCAGACACTTTTACCACCAGACATGGGGCCTTTTACAGACATGGCTGACACTTTGTGAAGTTTTATTAAAGCCGTCTTATGGACGGGCGGAAACATCCTCAAGATTTAGCAACAACAACAAATAAAGAATGTGTTTTATCCTCGGACAGAGCTGGAAACAAGAAAGAGAGCCCAACGCCTGATGCGTTCAGGGTCACTCTTTCCACAGCGGACAGAAACAAAGACACGTGTTGTCCCGTTATGGACATGTCTGTGCCTCACGCACGCGCACACACGCACTTTTAACTTTCCACCCCAATGTGTTAAGAGCCAAATATGAAGCAATGTGTCCAGAACTGCACCATCACTGTTACACCATCAGTCACATGAAGCCAAAAGGAAACAACACACAAGCTGAATAAAAACAGTTCATTTCAGTGTAAATGTTTATCACCATGAGACATCAATTAAGTCCACACAAGACGTTCAACCCTAAGTGAACACGTGTAAAACCAGGGAGTGGACAGATGATTCAGTGATGAGTGTTTTTATTTGTGCAGCTTCCTGTGTGGAGGCTCCAGCTGGTAATTTTCCATCCTCCTGAACGACGAACCGGCTTCTTACCTTTGAGGAGGGAGAGGCTCGAAATCCTGCAGAGGTCGGAAAAAAGGATCAAAACGAACAAATCCGAGGACTTTCTTCACAAAAACCTCAACAGATCCTGGAGAAAATCAACGTTTTGATTCTAAAACGAATGAAACCACGGGTTAAAAAACAACAACAAACCGTTTGAGTGGCAAAAATAAAAGAGCTAAACGAGTTGAAGATAATTTGGATTAATTTACAAATTATATATATTTTTTAAAAATGGTTAAAATCCCGGAGATGTGTCAGTCAGAAGAGCCGGTGGAGTCTGATGGAGACGAGATGAGGTCCTGAATTTATTGCATCAGATTCACCGGAGCGCGAGCGGGGGCGGGGCTAAGACGATGACGTACTTACGCACAACGTGACGCGCTTTGTATACAAACAGAGGCTGGCCCACAGAGGGAGGGGAGGATGTCGGGAAAACCGCGGGCAGTCGCCAGAGAGCAGCTCCCAGGGAGAAAAAACAAAAGAGCAGCAGAGAGCAGTTCAGGCTGTCTTCATCCAGCAGAGAGGATGAGTGGAGCCTACAGAAGTTCAGAACACTCTTTTGTTTTAATTCACTTAGAATGCCTTTCATTTTGTCACGCAACCTTTATTTATACACGTTAGTCTCATTGAGCCTCGAGGACTCATTTACAACCTGTTTGTTCATTTGTTAATTCATTTATTTACTTTTTGCCATCACATTTTGCTCAAGATTCCCGTTTGATTTTGCAGCATATCTCGTGGAAAAAATACAATTTTTGTTTTTCATGACCAAGCATCAAAAGACTAAGTCTTCTTTTTATCAAGTTAAATGTTTCTAAGATTAAGGGTCACTGATTTTAGAAATGCCTCATCAGTTGCAGCTCTTAACGGTGAAGCTGTCGAGGTGCTGCATCAATATAAATATCTGGGAGCTGTTCTCCATGACAAACTGACCTTTGACCCCCAGGCCAACTCACTTTGTAAGAAGGTCCACCAGAGAATGCATTTTTATCAGACGCTCTGTGGGTTTAATTGTTGGTTTGACTTCTATGAGAATGTTTTATTGAGTCTTAACTTTTACTTTCATCCGTTGCTTTGGATTGTTCACGTGCAAAAACAGGAACAAATTCTCAGGGATTGTCAGGATGTGCAGCAAAACTGCTGGCATAGACCTACAGAACCTCACTGGTGAACAAGACCAGGCTGATTCTGGCAGATCCTGTTCACCACTCCATGGTGAGTTCAGGTTGCTTCCATCTGTACGCAGGTATCTGCTGCCCACATGTAGAATGATGTCTACTGACTGAAACAAATTGTCCCTGTTGATTCATAGAACTGGGCCAGAATGGATGTTGGAGATGCCCTTTGAGCGTCCTGTGAAGATTCAGTGAAAGACCTGCACGTGTTACTGTGGTCACACACGCTTGGGGTTAGGCTTCAAGGCTGTCTGTGTCGCTGTGCTACAAGTTTAAAGTGATTAACACTCATTTGGCTAAAACACCTGGTGTGATGGTAGACATGTAAAACTGACTTGTCTGCAGCTTTCAGAGTCATCTGATGCAGTTTGATCAAACTTCTGTATATTTTGATTCACAACATTTTACAGACTGACTCATTATAAAGACAAAGTCCTGGCTTTAATGGGACTCGTGCACCTGCTGGACTGCATTCCCATTATTTGCTTCTTATCTTACCATACAGGAAGTGTTTAGCTGCTCCTTGTTTCTGCATTCATTTGAATGTCTGTTTCCCCGTGGTCTTTGTCTCAGCAAACTGTCCTCGCAAACCCCAGATCAAAGGAGGTGGCCGCTCGTCCTGAGCCCGGTTCTGCTGGAGGTTTCTTCTTGTTAAAATGGAGTTTTTTCTTCCCACTGTCTCCTTTGTGCTCGCTCAGGATGAGAGACTGTGATGAAGTGGAGTCGACACAATCTGCTGCTTCCTTAGATACAGAACTTTTACTCACTGGATTTTTATGTATGTGAAGGTTTTTGTTCAGCGCCCTAAGACGACTTCTGTCGTGACTGTATGAATAAACTGACCTGGATTGAAAGGTTTGAGTATTTTTTGAGGTTTTCAACAGTATTTTTTCTTATTTTCAGTTCCACTGCTTATTTATCAGGAGAAATTAGGGCAGTGGTGTAGTCCATATTTTTGTAGCAGGTATACGGCGGTAAAAAAATCTGTATGCCTCTTTTGTGATTGTCTATTGTCGTTGTTATTCATTGTTGTCATCACTCTATTAAAATCAGGTCGCTCTTGTAAATGAGTCCCAAAGGCTCAATGGGATTAACCTGTCTAAATAAAGGTTGAATGAAAAGTTAAGTTTTACGTTGGACACCGTTGAAGCCACGGCTCGCGATCGTCAAACATAAAACTCTCTTTACCGCGGTTGGTCCGTATACTGTGCTTAGAAACCAAAGTACACCGGTTAGTACAATGTATCGTCAATTTATTTGGATTTTTAAGCATATTGAACATTTCCTAATTTCTCTGATGCTTATATTTGATTAAAAGCACAACAAACTTTGTACAAGTTGGTTTTGTATTAAAAGCAAACAGTATCGAAGCAAAACATGTTCAAGTGTTATATATATAGTATTATTATACAATAATTAGCTGGATAAACAAATGTAGTAAACAAGCGCTGCATACAGACAGATTGTTACGGAAGAATTTAACTGTTGTTTAACATATCAATGACACGTGCCTAATGATATGTCATGTATCATTGGGCAATTTTAAGTGGGTATATTGAAATTCTTAAGCTTTTCATGTGAGTATACTCCGTATACTCGAGTATCACGTGGACTACACTGAGTTAGGGTTAGCAGCAGATCATTGGCCTCAAAGTCCATTTTCCAGCTGCACCTTGATGGTAACCAGTCCTGGATAATGTCATTTTTAACCGTCCTTTAAGGTTGTCATATGATCCAGTAAAGCTCCATCCATCCATCCATTATCTGCACCCGCTTCTTCCTTTTCAGGCAGTGGGGGTCACCGGTGCCCATATACAGCAATCACTGTGTGAGAGATGGGGGACACCGTGGACAGGTCTCCAGTCCATCACAGGGACACATAGAGAAAAAAACCATTCACACTTGGGGTGCACCGATAAATCAGCCAACCGATTTATGATCCCCGATTTTCTTAATTTTGGGAAATCGGCCGATACACGAGAAACCGATTTTACCGATTTTTTTTTTTTTTTTTTTGCTTTAACAACAATTGTCTGAACTTCCTTTATGTTTCAGAGCACCACCTCATGGCCAGTTAAAACAAGTTTGTATTGTTTCTAAGATATTATTCAAGCTGTTTTTCAATAAAATAATATTAGAAAATTGAAGGTGCATTGTGACTTTATTACACCTGACAGTGTTGCTTATAAAACTAAATCGGAATCGGCAGGTCAGGACTAGAAAACTGCAATTGGTGCACCCCTAATTCACACTTTAGAGTTACCAGTCAGCCTTTTCTGTGGGTGAAAACCCACACATGCACGGACAGAACATGCAAAATCCACCCAGAAAGGCCTCCAGCCGGGATTTGAACCTGCAACCTTTTTACTGAGAGGCGACAGCTCTACCCACTGCGCCACCGTGCTGCGCCTCCAGTGAAGCTCTTACGACAAAATTAATGTTCAAATTAACCTTTCTTAATAGAAAATTATTACCGGTAGTTAATCCTTTTTAATAAGCTGTTTACGTTCCTTGAAGCTAACCAGTTAGCTCTCCAGCTAACGAGGCTCTAATTTTATTTGGAAGATAATTTGATTTGTTTGTTTTGATCATGAGTAACGACAGACCTGTTGAATGGGATTAACACTCATGTGACGGTGATGATCTGGATCATCGCTCACGGTGCTGGCTCTTCCGGCTGCATTAGCAGTGTGCATGTGCGTGTGCATGTGTAAGTTAAAGCGCCCAGTGTTTTTTTTCCAGCTCTATTATTAATGCTGGTGTTAGTAAGAGATCAGGACGCTGTCAGCTGCTGCTCATGGCCACTCATCGGTGATTAAACACTTCCATCTGATGCAACTTCTGCAAATGTTTTATCAGCTGTGAATGAAATAGCTGACATTTTTTTGTTGTCGTTTGAACAACTCACATAATTAAATCCTCCAACAAGTGCTGCTTGGACTTTTACAACTACATTAGTGAGTAATGCTCGAAGACTGTAAATAATTGATCGACTTTACACACGAGTCATTCAGAAAACACGTTTCTTTCACCTGATACACGTGACGACGACGACAGAGTCCAGCGTAAAAGCAAGAGTTGTATTTTTACCCTTGAAATGTTTCCGTTAATTAAAGCGTCTTACTTTGTTGACACGTTCCACAGCATTATTATTTCTGTCGATCTTTAACCGCCCTACAAAATGTTCGTATAGGCTTTGTTGTGGTTCGACATGAGTTCACACATTCCGAAGTTTTCTGTCATGACGAGGCAGACTTTGGAAATCTGGAAGGACACGTTTTAATTCAGGTCTCTCTTGTAAATGAGTCCTCGAGGCTCAATGGGATTTACCTGTATAAATAAAGGTTGATTGATTAATGTACGGTACTTAAAATACACTTTTAAAGCCGGATAAACCGCACGGCTTCATCGTGTTAATGGAGACGCGAAAATGAACTGCTTTCATCTGAGGCTTATTATTATTTCAGTTATTTCAAACGTAATCTTGTCTCAATGTGAAACTTTTCGTTTGTCCATGTGGACACCGGCAAATTTCAGTCAAACTAGATGACGTCACTTTTGGAGCTGGGACTCAGTCCTTGGTCGGCATGACGATGTAAAACTGACTTGGTTTCTCTTCTCGAACATCCCAAACGACTCTCCTTGTAAGATCGTCACTGATTTTTGTCAACCCAACGAGTTCAAGAACCTTCACCACCTCGTAATAAAAGATTGGGTTGAATTACAGTATTTGGGCCTGTATGTATATTTTTGACCCTGTGTTAATTAACTTAATAGCCGAAGTTGTACAGTAAATTGCATATTTTTTTTCATTGGGTTAAAAAATGGATTTAAATAAAATGAACAGTTCAAGATAAAATACAGTTCATACCCATGTTGTTGTGTATGTAAACTTCTGACGGCAGCTGTGAATAGAAATAATCACTTAATTTTTTTTATGAAATATCTTTGTCTCTTCAGGATATGTCTCATGTAACCAAGTAAAGAAAAGAAAAACAGCAAGTTCACTCACTTACTATCTCATCACACTTTTTGTTTCTCTCAGTCACCCACGTTTGGATTTTACTGGCCTCACTGTGAGTCTTTGAGGGTTTTGCT